CATTTAAAAACTAAATTTTGAAAATATTGACTTTCAAGATTACAATAGATTTCTTTCATTCGTCACACTACGCTTTTGTTCCTCTGGTAGGAAAAGCAAATGCGCAAAGAAAATTGAATGGAATTTATTTCTGATGGATTTATCTTTCCTTGAAAAAAGCTTGCTTACTGTTACAATGAAGTAAACACTTCCGGGCATTACTTACCCACACGTATAACGATTCTTCTTTTTCAAGTACCAGGATGAACTTACAAAATACCATACGTGTCTTCCACCATCTCTTACACACTGATGAATTTTAATCCTTAATCTTGATGAGGCGTTCTAAATTTTGACCGCTCTCCTGGCCTATCGATTAGGATCATATTTCTCACATTGCTACCCTCCCCCCTTTCATCGAGGGTCAGAAATCCTACTTTGTTGAAAAAAGGCAGAGAAAATATGTGTCCAATTTTGTAACCTAAGATAGCTTGTGCACTAATTAATTAACATATTTAATTCTTTACTTGCCAACTGGTACAACTCATGATCCAGAATATCAGCTGCTATCATGTGCCGTAGGGAAAAGGTTAGGGTGAGACTTTCGAACCATTAAGTCTTTTAGACCTTCAGAACCGGAAGGAGAAGGAAGCGTTTTCTCAGCCTCAGACGCTCCGAATTTATACGTACTGAAGAGTAAGTTTACGTACTAGGAAGTAGGCATAGGTACTAATAAGAAAAGTTACACGAGAATATAGTACGAAATCAGAAAGGCTCGTTTCATATACAATGGCGTTTGCCGTGAAGGGAGAATCACGTGAACACGTATCACGGTCCTGACGGATATAATTAACAGGCCCGGACTGGGATTTAAAATCGGCCCGGGCATTTTCGAAATATCGACCCTCTTCTTCACATAAACACCGTGTGCGCGAAGCGTACGCAGCTCTTAATGTATCACTTTCAGGCATTTTTTACTTATAAATTCTCATGAACGTAAGTTAATTTGTCGAAGTAAGAAAGTAGATAAAAATTGCTTATTATAGAATATATTTCAGTTTAAAATACATGGTTCTTATGAGGAAACATAGGTTGATAAAATCAAAAAGAAGGTGAAAGATGAAGAGTAAATAAAAATGTTTATTATACTACACATACATGAATGATTTATGTAAACATTTTTTTAAAATATATTTAATGCTTCTTCAAAAGTCATTAAATTAAAATTTAATTTAACTTTTGAAGAGGGTCACTATCTTCTGCCATTTTATCGATTATGTCATAGCTATCTAATTTCATTAATAGATCTTTTTCTATTGCCATTACCATGAGAACATTCAAATTATCCGAAGATAAAGTACTCCTCATTCGATTTTTAATTACTTTTCATGTGGAGAATGATCTTTCACAAGCCACCTGAGTTATAGTCTGAGTTAGAGTTATAGTGGCAAACTTAAACTAGTTTCTCTCAAAAGACGCGTAGAGGCGAACAATTAACAAAATATTCTAGAAACTCAATTATTGTCATTTGTTGAGAGAAATGGTATCGCTAGTCAGGACAATGCCTCACTTTACCTTGAAAAATATTAATTTTTGGATACAACCCCAATTCCAAAAAAAATGTAAGGGTTTTTTTACTAATTGATACGCTATACATCATATATTTCAGGTCATATGTAAAAAAGGCTGTTAACAGCAGTGGCTTTATTTCGTCGGGACGTTTCCCGCCTTTTTATTACGTATTCGTTCCTTTTTCCAGACCAAATGGGGCAAGAACTAAGTTCATCTTCGTTTAGTATCCTTGTTAGTGTTTGTTAAGTAATCTTTGTAAGTTGGATATAAACGTTCTCAATAATGCATGTTTCGTTCTCTTTGGTTTTCTTTGCGTCTAGTTAGGGTACAAATTAAAAGAAGCTTTATTTCTTGAAAAACGTTGTATTAAACATCGTGCGGCATCGTTAGGAACTAATCTTGGTTAGGTTCTAACCAAGGTTAAGAACTAACCTTGATGTAAAATAAATGCCAGTTCATAAGCTCAAAATTTAAGTTAAATTTAATTTGTCAAAGCTTATTTATACACAATTTTATTAAAATAATGAATATATGAAGCAAAACAGAACATTGACTCTTATTTATCTAAAAATAAAGCATTTTACCAAAGAAAAAAACTTGACAGAGGCAACTTTTAAACACTATCCATGCTCGCATAAAAGCCGATAAAAGGCTTCTTTCTTCTCATTGTCATCTTCAACCTTTAAGCGTTTTTATTTTATTTTATTTTTTATGATTATTTTTAAACTTTTTGGCTGAAATGAGATTGTTAAATATTTGAAAACTATTTCATAATACGCACCTTCTCTATGTACACATTCAATATTAAAGTCAGAGGAAAAAAGCGAAAATGCAACCAAAATGTAAAGCAACCAAGCCTTTAAAAATCACTTGTTTCTGAGAGAAAACATATAGGAGATAAAAAAAACAATTATTAAATTTAAAATTTATATTTTACTAAATTAAATCCTTAAATTTCATCAAGCAATTCAAATGATTTACGCAATTTTTATCTATCTTTCATCAATGGTGGTTCATCAGAATCGAAAAGAAAATTCTCATTTAATAAAATTGTAATTGTATATGTTTGAGTGTGAATTCTAATACTTATTGTTAGAGATTGTAATATGTTTTTATAGTTGGTGTCACGTGACTCTGACTGCTGCTGCTTTCATTTAATTTTTATTCTTTAACTTTGGTTTTTATGTTGGCAACCTTCTTGAAATGTTTTGTGTTGATTATTTAGTGTTCGAATTAGTTAGGTTTTGAAAATATCACTAAATTGAGATTGCTTTAGAATTAATAAATGTTTATTAAGTTTTAATTTGTATCTGTTTATTCATCTGTAGAACTAGTAGTTCATTTGAATAACATTAAAAAGGCGTCCGTGAAATTTATTTGTTTGCTGCGATTTACACTTATACTTTGTTTCTCACGAAAAATATTAAGTTATTTTTCAGTTTAAAATATCAAATGTAAATATTGAAAGTGATGTAGTTTTAAATAACTTTTGATACAAAAAAAATGCATTAATTTATAAAAATGCTTTAATTCAGCAACTTTTTTTTATACTTTATAATGTTATATTGTTTTGCTATAATGTTATAGTTTAACGATTTTTAAAAATTACTTATTTATTCATTTATTCTATAGACTATATTAATTCTTTCTGTTCCATTATTTGTATACTAACATATTGTTTCGTTCTGAATGCTTCAGAAAATATTAAAAATCATTTTGTTATATTTGAAAATCCTCTTTTTTATTAATATCAATTTCAAGTTAATTACTCCGTTCTTTTTCAAACTTTAAATGCAAATTCAAATATTTTCACTATATCTAAATAAAATTCACTGAGTTAAGTTTATTATTCCCAATGCTAAAACTTTTGTTCTTTTTACCCATATAGTAGTAACATTCCAAATTTGTGTAGCTGTTAAATATATGGTTATGTTGTAGTTCGTAATCGTGGAATAAAAAATCGAGAAACTTCTCATTCACTTTACTTAAAATTTTACAAGTAAACTATTTGACAAGTGGTACAGTCAATAATATGTTGTTAATAATAACATTTCACAAATGTACGGCTGTTTTTGGCACTTCACTTGTTTTATTTTATAACCTACCAACCAAATTCTGAGTTTACAAGTATTAATAATCAGCTCCGTACCCGTGTAATTTTGAACTCGACCGAGAAGACGAGGGAACTTCTAGATCAAGCATTAGGACATACTACCCTTCGTGGAGGATTTTTGATGGAATTAACACACATTTGTGTTACATTGATAGGAAAACCACGATAACCTCCTACGGTTAGATCGACATGAAAGGGATTCTTTGTCTAAACCATCCAACCGAAAGCAATGAAATTTGGTATATAGACAGTTCAAAGCTCAAGGAAAGTCACTGTCGAAATTAGAGCATTCGACGACAAACCGTTCAAGCACGATGAGCGAAAAGCGAAATGGAATTTTCTGATTGGTTAAACGTTATGGCAGTATCACACGAGAGAAAAATGAGAACAACCGTAAGCGGAACCTACACTCTATTGGTAACTCTAAAGCAGGGGTCTCCAAACTTTCCAGCCTTAGGGCCATACTGATTACTCCAGTAAGTTCCGAGGACCAAAACCATATTATCATTGTTGCCGGTGGTAAAAAGTGAAATAGTCCACTGATGAAAAAAAAAGTCCGAAAAAGTACGCAACGTTTAAAAAAGGCTGCAAATCGGACTAAAGTCCGCAAAGCGGCAACAATGCATATTATTAATTTTCCTGTCATTATCTGTAATTTCTAGATTAGTCGTAGAGTACGAGCCATGAGGAGTAACGTGACACGACATCTGGTGGACACAAGAGGAAATAGGTAGTACCTTCTATCGGTAATAGATGGCGCTAATAGCACGTACAGAATAATCTCGTTGGTTCGAGAAAGTTCTGGTGTCTTCCACTCACTTCTAGATGGCAGTAATTGGAATATATAAGAAGGCTAATGGCGCAAAAACAAGTCAGTTCCTATGACACTGTTGTGAAATAAAATAGTGCGTACCTCCTTAAAACGTGTTTGTGCGTGTTTAAGTTTAAGACATCTTTGTAACAGTATTTTGATTTGAATTGTTGCTTTTGTGTGTGATTTAGTAGTATGGAAAAGAAGCGAAAAATTGATAGGAAATGCAGAAAATTCAAAGATAAGTGGAACATTCAGTATTTCGTAATTGAGTCCAGTAACAAGGCGCTATGTTTGATTTGCAATGAAAGCATCGCCGTTTTCAAAGAAGCAAAAAATTTTCAAAATTACTCAAAATATACAGGAAGTTTGCGGACAGAAAAATTCGAAGCTATGAAACGCGGATAGAAATCGCAGCAATCTTCATTTACAAAACTCAAAACTGAACAAGAGGCTGCAACTCGTACCAGCTTTCGTGTGGCTCTTGAAATTGCAAAATGTGGAAAACCTTTCACCGATGGAGAAATGATCAAAGAATGCATAATTGCAGTAGCCGAAGAAATGTGCCCTGAAAAGGTAAATTTATTAAAAACTGTCAGTATGTCAGCAAACACTGTGGCTCGAAGGGTAGAAAACATCGCTGAAAATATATCCTCTCAACTGTTCGACAAAAATGTACATGTTGAGTGGTTTTCTTTGGCCTTGGATGAGTCAACGGATGTGTCAGATACTGCTCAGGTGTTGATTTATATTCGAGGAGTAGATAAAAGCTATGAAGTGCATGAAGAACTTCTTGATATGTATAGTATTCATGGCACAACTACTGGTACAGATATTTTTAAAGGAGTTGAAATGGCCATTAATCAAAAGAACCTTCGATGGAAAAACTTGAAATGTATTACAACTGATGGAGGCAAAAACATGAGTGGGAAAGATAAAGGAGTGGTCGCTCTTGTGTCAAAGGCTGTAGAAAATGACGGTGGTTCAAAACCATTAGTCTTACATTGTATCATTCATCAACAGTCTTTGTGCGGAAAATGTTTGGATATGTCTGAAGTTCTGAAACCAGTCATATCAACTGTTAATTTTATCAGATCTTTTGGGCTGAATCACCGACAATTTATTGCAGAGATTGGAGAAAATGACTTACCTTATCATACTGCCGTACGTTGGCTTAGTTGTGGGAAAGTCCTTCAGCGCTTTTTTGAACTTCGAGCAGTGATCGAAATTTTTTTGAATGAAAAGCATCGCCCTCTTACTGAATTACAAAACAACGCATGGCTGTGGAAGTTAGCATTCTATGTTGATTTGACGAAACATGTGAACGAACTGAATTTGAGATTGCAAGGAGAAAACCAGCATCTTCCTGATTTATACACTAATATCAAATCATTCCGGAAGAAATTGATACCGTTTTAATCACAACTACGAAGTAAATGCTTTTCACATTTTAAAACATGTGAAATATTCAGCCACACCACTGAGACTGAGTTTCCTATCGATTTTACAATCGAAACTTTGAGTGCTTTGAAAATAAATTTTGATACTCGTTTCTCAGACTTTGATGCCATTGCGAATCAAATTAAGATTTTTTAGAATCCTTTTGATACTGACATTGAAACCCTAGCCCCGGAACTTCAAATGGAAATGATTGATATACAGTGCAGTGATATAATTAAGAACAAATATCAAAACTTATCTTTGTTGGAATTTTATAAGAGTCTTCCACTGACACTATTTGATAATTTGCATAAATTTGCTCGTGGGCTGTTTTCCGTTTTTGGTACTACTTATTTGTGTGAGAAGACCTTCTCCAAAATGAAGCACACAAAAAATGTTTACAGATCTAAATTAACTGATGAGCATCTTAAATCTCTTTTAATAATTGGTACAAGTAAAATTAGTCCACAACTACAAACTATTGTCAATGGAAAATCTCAATTACATAAATCTCATTAGTATTTCATATGTCATTATGCTTGTTATAAGTTATGTTTTTATTTAAAATGTATAAAATGTTAGTTGGATTCATTTCAATAATTTGTTAGTTATTATATACTGAAGTTAAATTTTCTACATATTATACATGTCTTTACTCATTGCAATTCTGTGTTTCTTTATCCAACCTATCACAAAAACAATAACAATAAGCCTGCAACAATATTATGAGTAGTTAGCCCATGACCATATCAATGCAGATGTCACATTAATAATTATTCAACATAAAATTAGAACACTTCAGTAAACTCAATTTAATTTGCTATAAAAAATATGTTCTCTAAAAGGAGTTTTCAAGTATGCTCTGCGGGCCGGACAAAATCTGTCCGCGGGCCGGATGTGGCCCCCGGGCCGTAGTTTGGAGACCCCTGCTCTAAAGGCAATTTCTCAGTTCGGAGTTGCCGATAGGGTTGCTTAATTGCTCTAATGGTTGCTCGCAATTAGGTGACCATTTTTGGCTATTTATCTTAACTTTTGGATAATATTTCATTTTTTCGTGTGATGCTATTATCTCATAGTTTTTCAACGATGCTTGTAGAGGGAGGAAAAGGAAATCACAGACACTGTAGAATAGTGATTGATTTTCATTTAATTTTGTACATTATAAATATTTAACAGTGTAACATTAAACACTATAATTTGTATGGCTGCAAATAAAAATTCTGAACATTTTATTTCCACATTAGTGGAGCAATATAGTATAAAAAGGATTATGATTTCTAGCTCATAATATAAAAATGATATTAAGATTTCAATGAATTTCATTTTACGCCTCTTAAATGATAAGGGGATAAAATGGGGATGGACTTATTACTATCTGGGAATATATGTAAAATCCGGTAGCTAATTTTCGGAAAAAAACGAGAGCAAATTCAAACTTCTTGTTTCGGGTTTACCTTATTCATATTTAGGTTTACAAGCATGTTTGGATATTTTAACAGTATTCTCAATTATTTTGGGAGGAAAACCTTTATAGTGAGGGAAAGTTCTAATATGGTTAATTTTACTCTTGATATACGTGATGAGAAGGTTGTAAAATGCTACAATTTTTTGACTAGGTAGATGACAAGAGGAATGGCATGGTGGAAAAGAAACAGCAATTAATGTGTGTAGTTCAAGTGTAAAATTTAAAACTAACTAGATCGAAGTTTTTTAGACACAAAACAATTTTGATGTTTCTGAAAAACCATTCGCTTCCAAACTTATTACACCAGTAAACGTGCCTTCAATTTGCGCACACTTAACCAAGGAACCACGAACTTGTGGTAAACCAAGAAGAATCTATAAAACACACAATTGATAATCTAATGAAATTTAATAATTCTATTCCAACTCTCTCTAGTGACTCCAGGAAAGCACACGAAAATGTCAAGAGTGTTACATTTAGTTTCAATATCGTTAAATTAAAAGTCGACGAAGGTAGACATATTGTTGTGTTGGATAATATTCATTATCTACAGTAATCGTAAACCATTATTAATGAGAGTCCATACTGTTGAGTTCAGAAGAATCTATGCACAAATGCTTTAATTCATGTATAAAATAATTAAGAGGTCTGCAAATTTTCTCAAGGACCCTAAGAATGCATTAATTTTACCAGTTGTAAATTGAGCCAGACATTTACACAGTACTTAAAGTACACGAATCCTACATTCAAAATCTTAATACAATAGTTTCACCTCTCTTGAAAAATATTTACCGACACCACAAAAACTCTATAGTTTCAAAAATGTCAGTCGGGTAGTCACACCGTGTGTTCTTTGGACGTTAAGTCCCTGTTGAAGGTGTATTTTCATGTCTTCGTAAGCAACTTAGTTAATATCATTTTCCCCAATTTGAAGTTGATGAACTCACTCGTACACATCACACGCCGTTACCAAGCACAGAATATCTTTATTTTTATAACCGGTTTATTGACGGATGGTCCGGCCATAGATAATATGCTTAGCCTTATTCTAAGTGAGTTTAATGTGAATGCTTTCTGTTAGTGCTCTCTTCAGCTGCGATGAATACAAGGAAGTAAATTATTAAGGCCCTTTAACAAAAAACTGGTAAAGTATTGCCTGAGTTGTGTCAGCTATCATCGATGGAAAAAGTGATATCATTGTTATATCTCTATATGCAGCATGAGGCTCCGAATTCGTACCACTGAGAGTCCCGATATTTATTGCCAAATATAACATACAGAATGTGGGCAACAGATATAGAGTGTTCTGTAAACACCGCCCTTAGTATGCAATATTAAAATTCCTTTCATTGAGAAAACATAACTGCCGATTTGTTGTATGATGATTCCCTTTGTGGATAGTTTATTAAGCTATCTAATTTTCAGTAATTTCACAGTGTCTGGGACTCGATTTGAAGGAAAATTTTCACTCAAATGATCCAATTTATGGATTGAGAATTTTATACATTTCAAGGCATTATCAGTGCAGGGGTTACCTAAAGGTTTTGCAGACATTAGAGACACGTAATCACTCTTGAGTCAGAAAAGGTACTTGTAAATGTAAGAAAACAGAGAAAATGTTCTAAGGTAACATAGTTCTGAAACAAAGCAACATTAATTAAGCCATTAAAGAGTGTTTCAGTAGGACCAACAGGGATATAAAATTCGAAATTTTGTATAAACTTTCAGAGCCAGCATAGGATTGATCATATTAAAAGGACCCATCAATAAAAACTCTTAACCAGGGGGATTCAGGATAATGAATATTCATCGTTTTCATTTCAAGCAATTGTATAATAGCAGAGAGACTATCTGACATTAAAGCTCTTTCTTGAAACCCAGTATCAGATTTAGCTCAAGGGGGTTAATTAGACTTGCTTGTTTTTAATATTTTTAGGGAAGGCCCAGCCTCAATCCCCTTTCTTCGATGCTCTGGAGGATTCAAAGTTTTTATTTTTGGGTTTCGAGGAACATGTTGGTAAACATATCGAAAATTAGGTTGGATAAGATATTTAACGTAATATTACTTTTTCCTAAAACAACACTCGCAGATTCGATGTCAGTAAGCAGCGGCTATGAAAAAATTGGTGTTGTTTTACGAAACCAGAAAAAAGCCCAAGAACCTTATTTTGCAGTTAGTTTATTTTTGAAATACGAGGTTCACAAAAGTAAGTAAAAAATGTAATTAGTATATTTCTGGTAAGTGTTGATAATTGTAGATTGCGCACATCTCCTCAGTTAACCAATGAAAATCAGGAGTCGCCTCTTGTTACTCCGACTAGCGATTCTTCTGATGATTCTTGTAACTTCGATTCTTCGAAATTTATTTAGAGTTAAAAACAGTAACCAGATATGTAAAAGTTTTTACGCTGTTTTCTAAGATAGCATCAAAGGAATGAAAATTTAAGAAAACTGCTGAAGCATAAAAGAGAGCAAAAAGTTTGTGAAACGCTCTTTTTCAATTTAAAAGCTCTTTTCCTACCCCTATGCCAACAACTAAAGGATTTTTGGGTAAATTTGATAATAGGATCAACATTTGTTTGGGCATCTTTTTTCGATGATTACGTCAACATAATCAAATCACTGACATGGAACAAACAACTGATACCGTGAATTTATTATAATGAGTATATCAAGTCATCGATGCCGATGTTGAAAAGAGTGCAGCTTTCAGCAGTACCCTGAGGATGATCCATTTGAAGATTAAAATTAATAGAAATCTTATTTCTAAATCGAAAATTTCAGCAGCATTGACCAAGGAGAGATCGAAACTAATTTATCATAGTTTAATTGATACATGGAAAAGAAAATTTAGTGCAAATAGTGTGACCCCAAATGGAGTTATTATGCTTTTTTAAAAACTGACCAAAATAGCTTTCATGTTTTCACTATTATTAAAGACGTTTTTGATTGCATAGCTGAAAACTGTGACTTGGTCAACAATAGAAGGGTCATCAGGTCCTGCTCCTCTAAGAATTATTTGCAAATCTAAGGGTTCTAGTTGAGTCACAATATTTAAATTCCTATATTAACTAGGCAACATTGCTAAAAGAGATAATCCAAAAATTTTAAACTGAGTTCGGTGGAAAATTGGAAACACAAAAGAAAGCACTTTTTCAGTTTTCAGGCGTGGTACCACTATTTTTCGTTCATTCTCCATACGCTCCAGGAAGTTTACAGTCCTCCTCTGAATATATACCGCACTCCCCGGGGGGGGGGGTGCTTTTTTAATTTGAGCTTCTTTAATAACAGATTGCATTTATATTTACTAAGGGGATCTGAAAAAAATAACTCTTCCTAAGAAAAAAAGTAACACTGGAAATGATTCTAAATTACATAAGATTGAAAATTTATTCAAATGATTTTTACTTAATAGTGATCCGCTTATTTCCATTATCTTTAAAAAATACTTCTTATAAAAATAGTTAAAGAACGTGATATTACGGTAACATATATCTTATTTAAAAAGAAAAAC